TCTGGCAGACGACTTCGGACCCGGTGCCTACTACATAGTCGCCCTGAACACAAGACCAAGTTGCGACAACGAGGTCAACCCACTTTTATTATCATTTGTTTATTGCCCTTTATTATCAACCTCGTTATCATCATCAGCATTATCATCTTCACCTTCAACATCAGTGTACTTTTAATCTCTTTTTTTGATCAACTTCGTCTTCATCCTCATCACCACCAACGTAATCTTCTTTTTATCCAACTTTTTCTTTATCATCTTCCTCTGCCCTCAGCTTCGGCATCGCCATAATCCTATAGTCATTCTTGCCATTCTCTGTTTTCTTCATCTTTCTATTCTTAGTATTCATTTTCATCTTCGTGCTCTTCATTTGCGTTTTAGTTGGAATCCCATTTTGCCTTAAACCTTACCAAATGCAGTCACTTTTATTCTGGTTGGCTGAATCGACTGAAGAGGAACAGCCTAATTCTGCTCCCTTGCCCTGAGGAAGGGGAAAGGGGAGAGAGAGAGAGAGAGAGACGAAAGAATGCAGATTAGGGCGCCTTAGTAACCCAATTGCAGTGAATTGTTTATGAGGAAAGCTTGCACTTGTTGATGCGCCAGAGGCGTGAAGACAGGACGCCAGGCCGGTCGGCCACATGACGCGACGGTATGAGTTGCCTGCTCCCTCTGCTTGGACGTTCAACCTGAAGCCAGGTCGGTCAACACACGCGACGGTGGATCGATGCAAAAGGGGACATCCGAGTGGGCAGGACCGATTGAAGGTACCAGTCGATTGAGTGCTTGCTGCCCGCTAATGTTAGATTGACGCAGCCTCCGTGCCACAACCAACTGATCCGCGGGTCAAGTTGACGTCTGGCCAACGTCGGCGACGAGCAACCACGTCGCGTCAGTTCGCGTCGCATGCCCACAACCAACAGTCGAAGAGCGCAACCCTCTTCCGGCGGGACTCGATCCCGGGGCCCGCAAAAATGACTACAAACAGGCGTGTAAATTGTGTGTGTGTGTGTATGCATGTGTGTCCTGTCGACACTAGGAGAATACAGATATAAACCAGACACCGTCTCACTCTCTCTCTCTCTCTTTCTCTCTCTCTCACCCTATCTCATTCATACATTAGACTTCGCGTGAACTGGAAAGCCCATCCCGATGTCGGTCTTGAACTGGGCCTTGTACTGCAAAGTGAACGAGTGAGTGAGTGAGTGAGAGAGAGAGAGAGAGAAGTGGCGTGAGAGAGCACTCCGCCGTCCGGTACCGCCTTCCGCTCAACACCGAACTGACCTGCGTCACGTCCGTGGCGGCTGGACAACGGATTTCTTGTCTGTACCGAATGAAAAATGCCGCTTCAACAATTCGCCCTACTCACAGTCCGCGTCGGCCGGACGCTTGTCTCCGCGCCAGCACACACGTCTCGGCTGACATGCTCGGCCCGGCGGGCATGCCTACAGCCGACCGTTGGGACAAACACACAAAATGTCAGTTCACGCCGGCAGAGACACACTAGCGCATGGACTCCACGTTTCTAGGGCGCCTCGAAAACTGTCTCGTTGTCACTCTGACGTTTACCGCCAAACACGTCGGTGCATACAACAGCGACGCTGACGCAAACAGCAAAGAGGTCTCTCTCTCGTGGGGATAGTCTGAAACTGGGCCAAAAGTGGATCGCATCAGCATCAGCATCAGCATCAACATCAACAGCAAAATCTCCCCCACCAATGCACTCAAAAACCGCATGACCATTTTCAAATGAGCCATCACCAACTGCATTCTCATCATCATCTCTACCAACATCACATCATCATCGTCAACACAACCAAAATGATGATAATTGTACTGATTTGCAGCATCATCACTACTAAAATCATCATCATCATCGTCATCAGCAGCAGCAGCAGCATCGACATGACTATTGCCACCACAAACAGGACAAACATCATCATTATCACCATTAATTCTGTCATCAGGTGGCTGGCTTCAGCCAACTTGAAGCCCTCTTAGACCTACTCAATGCGAGATGCGGACGTACTGTGTTATCGATTTGACAATCGTCGAGGCAACAAAAAAGGCCACGGAGAGCCTGGCAACACTCGTGTAGAGAGTTTAACGGTCTGTCGCGACGACGAGTCAGCATGAAAACCCAACCAAGGTCTTACTATTCGGTGCGAAATTGTCGACGAAAACATGTAGTTGACAGAGTTTTTTTTCCAATTTCGCCATTTTTTTCAGAGCTCATAGGCATACAAGTGAGCACTCGTTGACAGGCTTGGACAGAAGCGAGTGCTCGAGTCGCCAAGACGATCCGCGGAGACCAGGTCAAGTGCATGATTACAAATTTGGCGATTTGTGTAGCACTCGTGCTCCCCTCGGATGGTGCCAACACCCCCTCGGCCATGCAAGCCTCGTGTGTCCCTTCAAAATGCACCAGTCCCACGCAAAACTGGCCGTCGTCAGGAGCATGCTCGAGGTTGGTCTGAAAAATGCTGTTCTCGTGGCGGCGCCCAGTGCGCCGGACATCGTCGATTGGCCGGAGATAAAGTAGTCACTCCATGGCGACTGTCATGTCTGCTCCGCTCGGTGACAGTTGAATGAAAGATATGAATTAAGTTTTGTTGTCCTGACTACCAGTAAATCAGTAATATAAGATGTATTCACCCAATTTCGTTTAAGGTTATGAAGGACTGGTAGAAGAAGAATTTTCACACTCACTGACGTTTCCATTGAATTTCACATAACCTTGCTTTCTCAAAAGTGGTTTTCATCCATCTCATACTACTGAATTTCTGGTAGTCACGAAAACAAGACTTAATTCGAAACAGAAAGTTTAGTTGTCGATTGTGATGGCAGATGCACGTTTGCTTCATCGACAATTCCACCAAAAGAATATGATATGGCAGTCCACTGTGGATGAGAACAACTTTTGTGAAAGCAAGGCTATGAGAAATTCAATGGAAACGTCAGCTCTACTCATATTATTTTGGGAAAATTCTTCTTCTTAATCACCTTAAACAAAATTGGGTGAATACATCTCATATCAAAGATAGGACGACCAAGATGTTGTGACCTCTGGTATGGTCGCAGAGCCCTATCGATTTGTAGAAGTGGGTTGACCTCGTTGTCGCGACTTGGTCTTGTTGTCAGGGCGACTAAGTAGAACGCACTTAGTCCGAAGTCGTCTGCACCATAGCCACCAGAATATTGCATTTCTTTAGTTTTGGCTGTAGCTTTTGAGTGCAAACGATTCGGCAGAACGCTTGTCGAGCGATCGACTTGACTTGTCTCAATGACGAGTTCGTAGCTTGGCGCGGAGAATGGCAGCACTCGCTGATGATGTCGATTACGACGCCGGCAACTCATTTTGAGAATGTACCAAGTCGACTGTCTGATGCTGGGGATCATGACAACTATTATGGCAGACGACTTCGGACTAGATGCGTTCTACCAAGTCGCCTTGACAACAAGACGAAGTTGCGACAAGGAGGTCAACCAACATTTCTTCTTTATGAAATGTCGGCCAGAGGGCCTCGGTCAGTCAGCAAGTAGGTTAGTCGGGCAGTTGTGCATTTGGTCAGAGCGACCAGCCAAACGGATGCGCTAAAAGTGGCCAAGTGTTGATGAGATGAAAGGAGCAAAGTTACTGAATGAATGGAAAGCGGAGTAAATTGGCGAAACGGACAAGAGGAAAAGAAAGAGAATGAGAGATTTGCGCGAGAGCGGATTCCTGCAAGATGAGGAGCAGGAAAGGAGAAGCATGTGATGTTTATGTGCTCACAATTAGTTGGCTTTGAGTGGTTATTTTTACAATTGGACACGAATACAGCCCAACAGACGTGCTTGTGGCCAGCTCAGATGCTTTCAAGTACCTCCGTTCCCTCCACTCTCTCCACCTCACCTCAGATCATCCCACCACAAAATATCATATCACACCAGATCACATCACATCACATCACATCACATCACATCACATCACATCACATCACATCACATCACATCACAT